ATTCTGATAATACAGCTGATTGCACAACTATTGGTGACGGATGCAAAATTAGAACTTGATAAAAGTTCAGAATAGTTCAAATCCATAAAAATGCGAATGAAGAACCGATGACTAATTGCGGGGTGTACGGCGTTTAAAGGGTATGATCAGTTCCACCAATGAACCAATTATATTCAAAAGACAGTGCACCTTTGCAGTAGATTCAAAAAACAGTATACATGAAAAACAATGAATATGGAGAGTTGCGATCCCTATATACCATTTTGGTATAATTTATGGTTTAGCTCATAGCCCCTGTTATACGTATCAAAATTCAACAAATTCTTTTTGTTTTACTCATAAAACTTCCGTCTAGTTGTGCTGCTAAAATCACTTTCTTATCTCTATTCTATCCTGAGATATTTGGAAAAAAAATTCCAATTTTCACGAATTAGAGGATGGTCCTGATGTAGAGTCTCTTTAAAAGCGCTTCGCTATTTTTTTTTCCAAAACATTTTCCAACATTTTTTTAATGATCGAATAGAGGACAGTTTGGGCTACAAATCTACAGTATCTTCGCCGTCAAAAGCTTTTTGTTTTGATTAACTAGGTCTGAAAACGCATGATTACAAAAAACGGAAAAAATGTCCCGTCATGCTTCTTGAGCATTTTTTTGCCCTGGAGACTTCTTCAAAATCAAACTTGAAAATAGCCAAAAAGAAGCTCAGAAAATACAAAATCTATGATTAGAAGGAAAAAATTCAAAACTTTCGATTCGGAGAAAAATGAAAAACAATGAGTTTCTGTTCCTGCTTTACTAAATGTCCCCTTACGCTTTAACGTTTGTTTTCGCTATAAAATCTGTTCCACTTCGTTTTAAAGAAAGGTCTTTTTACCACACAAGCACCTAGTGTAATTATAGCTGTAGTAAAAATATCGAGACTCCATTCTTGTTTTGACTGAAAGTCAACTTTCCTGTTAAAATGTCCCGTTACGCTTTCTCTGTACGTCTCTCTCTGAAAATCCACTTATCAATTCCACTACTCAGATTCGTTTTAGTTTAACATGACTTTTTCGAAAAAATTTTCTAATAAACGGTACATATGGTTCGCAAATCTTCCATATGTTGCTGCGTTAAATTTCCGGGTTATGAAATGGTTGTACTGGAATACTACAGAAAACAGGTTTTTGAGAAATCATTTCAAAGCTGTTTTGTTGATGAAAACGTACTTTAAAGTATTGGCTATCGAATGGCGAAAATCGCAAGTCTCTATCCCTTCTTGGTTGTCGAGTTATTCAAAAAATACGCTCAGGCATCATTTTTCGAAATGAATAGTAATAAAAGTTTCACGTTTGGTTACTTCTGAAGTTCAAATCTTTTTTGAATTTGAATGGAAATTACATGTTCTGTGCAAAAGTCTATGAGGTCAAACTAGCAGAAAATCTTGTTTTCAACTGCGACTCCGTTCAGACGTCATTGATCCGATTGAATTTTTGTTTTTTAAAGAAAGAAAACAAATGTCATTGACGTTGTCAAATTATCTTGGGTCGTTCTTTGAGTAATCACATGCGAACCTAGTATAAAGTACTATCGTTTTGAAAACTGGTGAAGATAACTGATTACAGATCAGACATTGTAATTTTATTATGTTGCTTCTTTCTGTCATATTGATAGCGATTTTATCCAGACTAACACGGTGTATACAGATTTTCCGAAATTGTCCACTTTTGATTGTATTAACGATGTAGTGGTTGAATACAATCGATTGTCGTAAGCACCTGTTCGATCGTCTTTCCGATAGTTTTTAGCTATCATAAATCTTTCCACTCAAATTGAATGTTATTTGACGAAACAGTACTGCAGAGAGATCAGAGACATCTTGATTTTTTCAGGAATGTTTTCTGTACACGATGAGGCTGTTACACAAAAAGTAACATTCGAATTCGTGGACTTAGTTTTCTAGGGTTTTGGTTTTCCAAAAACCTGGATGACAGAAACTTCAATGGAATTTTTATTTCCCACAGATCAGGTTGGAAACTCCTTGAGCCATGCAAATCTTTCGGCACGAATCTATCTGCATGGTTCAATAGCTTAACCATGATAGCCACCGAAATAAAAATCAGGACAGCCATATTATTCAGCATATAACTGCTTAATAGTATACATTCTAAAAAATTTAATGTATTTCAATTTGAAGCTTGTTAAATTTTGCATTTTTTTATATCATAACCATTCTAGGTCTGATTTTGTTTACAACACCGTACTTCACTAACTAATCCGTGTGATATAGCCCATTCGGTAGCCCTTTATAGCACATATATTCACCCTCTTTCTCTTCTTCTTCTTTTCTTAAACCTATAAAAAACTAGTTTTGGGATTTTTTAAAGTGTTTTTGCTCCCTCGAAAAACCTCAGCGTACGGAAAAGAGAAGAAAAGTCCGTCTGGCGGGCTGTGGAGGAGTTCCAAAATTTTGAAAACTAGTTTTTTTATAGGTTTCTCGATGTGCTCTACAATCGAGACAGATCAGAAAAAAGGTTTAGAACAAAACGTTTCTGGCTCTGGAAACCTGGTTTCCCAGAAATCCGGTACTCGCAAGGCCTAGCGGCCCGTCTTATGCCGATATTCAGATTCAGCACTATTTTTTACCTATAGCCCACTAGATTTCATTGAAAAAACGATTGGTCAGTTACATATGTTCCCTCGTAAGTACAGGAAGCATGGACCGAATTGCGAGAGATTCTTTGATAAGTACAGCTGTATTTTGATTTTTGTACAAGAATTTTAGAAAAAATCTTGTGCTATAAACCCTGGCTTTATATACTAAGAATGTTCTCCGAATTTGGGCACACTATTGTTATCGAGGACAACAAATATTAAGAATCTACTTTATTAATTGACGTTGATGATAAAATTCTGAATTCGGACCTGTTCAAAAGGTACTGAGCGCATGCTTTCCTCTTTTGATTTGTATCTAATGTTGATAATTTTGCCGTAGTGCTTTCCCTATTCTCTTTACGTGTTTAACTTGTTCTGGTTTAATTTTTTTCTAAATCTTTTAAGTGTTCACTTGTTTTGGTGGGTTTTGAAAGGGTGGTTACTTTTTTCCTACATAGATATCGGTGTAAAATATAATGTTCTATACCAAACATGATTGTACGGTATCATCCAAATAAAAACTTTGGCCAACAAAATTTCCAGTTGTATAAACTATTCTACTGCAAGACTTTTATTTTTTCATTTTCTCTCACTCAATCGTTATTAACTTCCGGTTTGTCTACAAAATACTCTAGGTGAAACTCTGTTTGAAAACGACTATAAAAGTCGAAAATTTACCTTAAAATAGTCAGTGTGGTCATTGTTCGAACTGCTTTCATCATTCAACCTATCCTGTTGTTATTTGCTCCGTATTAAAAAAGTATATATTATTATTAAAGTATTAAAAAAGATACGCTACTCACAATTAACTAACAAAGAGTTTTGATGACAAGTAATGGAAAAGAAAAATCTTGGAGCTATCAATGTATCGGAAAGGAAAACTGAAATGACAACCGACGATGTTTTTTTTCTTGTCCCTGTACACGATTTTACTAATTCGGTAAATGCTCAAAATAACCTGGATGCGATGCCTGATTGGTGTGACAAAATGCTAATAAAATCAAACATCGATAACGTAGCCCTTTTCAACAGCTATACCGCCTTCTACTTTAGGAAGTCCACTCTTTTTACCAGGACAGGCTCTGGTCAAGGAAAACAATATTAAGTTGTTAGGAGCTTTTTTATCGCATAATCTAACATGGAAATATCATATTTCTAATGTAGCCAAAAAGTGTAGACAGATGTTAGGCGCAATGCACCGTACATTTAACACTGCACCAACTTCTCTTCGTCTTGACATTTTTGAAACGTGCATAATGCCAGTCATGGACTATGAAACGACTATGAAACGATCAGTTCGTTATTACTGAACAAATTAAATTTTCCTGGCTTAAGTGAACGACGAAAATATTTTCGTTTGTTACATTTTCATAAAATTATAATAGGAAACAGCGCTCTCTCAAGATTCAGCATAATCACACCTTTAACTAGCAGGACGTCGGATAGGCTGAATAATCGGTGCCAGTGGACCATCCCTAAAACAAGCTTAGAAGCAACAAAACACTCTTTTCTTCCCCGCATATGTATCGAGTGGAATCTGTTGCCGCGATCCGTGATATCCTAGTTTGCCATAGAAGTATTTAGGCGAAGGCTTAGACTGTATTTAAATATGTAGTTCTTACAACGGTAATTAGAACATGTAATTCTCCGTTTCAAGTTTTTTCTTTTTATGTGCAACATTCCCTTGGTTTTTTGTTTTTTTTAATCTTTTCCTTACATAGGAGATACATTCATTTAAGTTTCCCTTTTTTGTAACAGCCTAGACACATTCGTGTTCAAATAAAAAACCTATTGATTGATTGACCTACAGGCGGTAAACCTTATCTGGACATCTTGCCAAATGTTTTCAATTCACTGGCAAATTTACAGGTTTTTAGCTCAAATTTAACCATTCGATATCTTAGACATCGCTCTACACGTCTACAAAAGTGCTAGGTCGCTAGCTACCAAGCTCAGGAACTACAGCGAATCCTAGAAGAGATGCCTGTCTGACACTTTTTAAGCCCGAGAATCTCAAAACGATGTTAGGCATAGGCTAATGTTGGAACTGATAGAAATAGTTCATTATTTAGTTTTTAATATTTCTGCGCCTTAAAACTTGATTGTAGACTACTGTATGCTGAAACTTTTAATCATAAAAAATTCACTATGTGACAACTTCTGCATTGCTTGGCATCGAAACTCTTTGTTAGTTAATTGTGTTAAAATATAGTTACGCTGAGTGGTAAATGTATAAGATCTTTTACAAAGGTCAAAATAATACTATTTGAACATTTCGCGATCTATTATAGTTGTGAGCCTGATGAGTCTCAAGCTGACATGAGCCTCGCGATTATACAGTGTAAGAATTAGTGGGCTTTCTTGACTAATATAACAGTTTCAAATTTGGTGATGTTTCAGCAAATGTACCGCTGTTTACATTTGCTTCAGCTGTTAAGTCCCAACCCAATATTTCATCATCACCCGGATTACAATAATCCCAAAATGATAAATCTTCGAATTCAAATCCATCATTTTCAATTAGTTCTGGTCCACCTCCAAATACAACCATGGATACATCATCTAAATACCAAGAGCCGCCATCATTACGGCAGGCAAACGTGAACGCTGTGAATGAGGTAGTTGCCGTATAGACAAATGAGTAATTTTGATAAACATGAATCGAGTTATTGTCAACTTGGTACTGCTTTGTTGATACCGTATAATCGTCCGGGCAAGAATTTGGAGCTGAAATAATCAGCCGAAACGAGCAAGATAGTTTTTCTGATCAAAAGGCAACTTAGCTAAGTTTTTAACTTTTTATTTATATAAGTGAATTGCAAAGTAGCTATATACTGTAAGTATACTATCCGCATTTTGCGTGTAAAACCATAACTACTGAATAAAACATTTGTTATTATTTTATGTTGTAAAAAAAGTGATGAAACACTTCAATAAAAATAAAATCTTCGCCACATGTTTAAGTTGAAAAACCGGTCAATTAGTACCAAAACTTAGTGATTTTAGTTCTATTTCTCGAAAGAAAACAATTTTTTTAACTAAATTTCTGAAGTATTTTTAAATTTACGAAAAACGCGGATGTTTTTGAATGTCTAATCTGACTGTGAATCATCTCAAAACTTCCCCATAGCTATGCTAAATACTATTTTAAACAACATTTAGTAATCTTTGTCTTTGGACATTTTTCTTACATACCTCTGACCAGCGTGTGACTGCGCAACATGTTCAATAGTATAAGTCTAAAACTGTAATTTCTCTGTTCAACGCAAGTACAAATCAAATCAGCACGAAAATTTCGCTTTTACATGAGAATTTCCGCGAGAATGTCTGTTCTATCTTACGGAAATTTATTCCCGTTCACACCAATTTATCCCTTAATGAAAACTACAAATTTCAACACTGTTAGAAATTCGGAAAGAATTTCGCCGCCGTAGAGTCGATATACCTTACATAAATCGATATTAAACAAATTTAAATTAGATTTAGCATCGGAAGATTCAAAAATACGATTCCAATTCTTTTTACCGAAACTTCAGAGGGTCTTTGAAGACAGCACCAAACCAATCAATCTTTACGAAATTGATAATTGGTTGAGGAGGATTTCCAGTGTGTATGATTCGGTGGTCGTTAAAAAGACCGATTTGTTGTTGTAACGTTGATCTTTACTTCAAAAGGACATTTCTCTTTCTAGACTTACTCTAACGTCTGAAAAACCGACTTGCCATTGTGCTTTCTCGGATTTAAACAGATGACATAACGGTATAAATGCGCAAAAGTCACGTTTTTTACGCTATGATTAAAAGATTTAAGTCATGTACACGTATAATACATCCAAAATATTTTCAAATGATTATAACACGTATCAGTAAAAAGTGAATTTTCTATTGCAAAACTACATGATGAATTTGTACATGTTGCTTGAACAATTGCTGTAACATTCATCATTGTACATGAACAATTAGCCGTAACATTATTCGTACCATAGAATGCTTGATATATAGTTAAAGTGAATAGAGGGGGCGATGATGATAAACATGTTATACTGCATAGAGCATGTTCATTACCAAAGTATGTATGATTACTTGTACCTAGAAGTTAGTAGAAAAGAAAAACAGAGGGACATAATGAAATATTTTGTTTGGTAGATAGATACAAGATGCAGTCAAAAGAAAAACGTAAACAATCGAATAGTTTCTAGCCACATTTCAAAGACTAACTTTGAAAATATAAAACAAAAATTGCAATTGTACTTCGCACAAGTACCGGTGTCGTTGACAAAGTCAGACTCTGATGACAGTATGATTAAAAACAGATTCTCGTCAATTAACTCTTATTGACAGACTCTGCTAATTATTTTTCCTCTTTTAAGATCCTTAGAATTCACAAACTCATAATGTTTATGGATATGAATGAAGAACTCGACTAGATTTAACTTTCTACGTGCCAGTTCGCAATAGCACAAATATCGTGTGAGAGAACAACCAAAGTTATAAGGATAGAGAACATACCCCATGTACTAGTGTTCGCCGGTGATAGATCTATACAACTACGATACGGATCTATTGTTGTGGTAGTAGAAGTAGTGGTAGTGGAAGTGGTAATTGTTGTTGTGATTGTTGTATTTGAGTTTGATCTTAGTAAAAATATTGTCATGAGCGCAGCAGCAATGACAGATAACAGAAACAGTACTGCTATTGCTGTACAACAACAGCCACATGGTATATGACAGAACAATCTAATATATACACAAAAAAACGTTAAATCACATTCTTCGTTTTGCATATAAATTGTGTTGTTTTTTACCTTAGTCGTTTTAATCGTTTATATTTCTTTTTCTTTTGTTCTTCTTCCGATGATGCTATTTTGTATAGTAGATGTCGTTTACCAGCAGCACCAGCAGTCTTGAAACTGTTATATTGTGACTTAGTTTGAAAAAATAAGCAAAAAGACAGGTCCGGCACTACTGATTTAGTATAAATGCAACTTACTAATAGCTGAGCATTGCTCGAAATGTTTGAATTGCTTACGCTGTTAGCTTCAGTGGTGGTGGTAGTGGTAATGATGCTGCTACGAATGTCACAAGACCAAACACTTGGGCTTTTGAAGCTAGAGTTTGGGTCGTGTTTTGGGCTTGAAGTTGGCTGATGATCGGGCTTGAAATGGTCGGCTTGGATCGAGCTTCGGCTTGGCTTGGTCTTGGGACAAAACTTTTGCAAGATAACAAACAACGAAGTCAGATGTTGTCAATTCAGTTTCTTATTTTCAGCGTTATCCGCATTGCTTTTCGTCGCCTCATTGTTGGCAGAAAATTCGAATTCGTGCAATCAAGGATGCTTTATTACAAATCATTAGCTGAGATATGTCGCTCTGCTTCGACAAAAAGTTATATATCACTCTTTTCATCAAAAGAAAAACCAAGTACCTTTGTTCATTGACTCTTCGATGAGAATCTAGTCATTTGTCCTTTAATCATATCTAAGGTCTTTTCTGTTATTTCATAGTTGTTTTATTTTATCTCTATAATGTATACAGAATTCGAAGGTACTTATTCCCCAAGCAAACATCATCTATGGGAAAAATCTAGATACATTTCGTCTGTAATGGGGCAATACACGGCTAGTTGTCGTCTAGATTACTAGTTGGAAAAGGGACTTTTAACTAGATGCGTCTACATGTGTAACCAGCAATAGTTAAATCCTTCGATTATCGGACGATAAATCGATAGTTGCATGCAAGTAGAAGAAATCTAGCAATCGTCCGATTACTAGATTTCCGCTATCATTACCCAGTATTTGCAATCGAGTAAAACTCTAGTAATCTAGATGAAGCGGGCGATACTAGATTTTTTTTTGACGCCTGGGTTTTTTTTTCTTCAGTGTTATCATTCAATATACCCGCCGCACCTGGTACTGAAGCGGGTTAGCGCGTTTGTCTCGTGGCAGCCAGCTACAGTCGCTAAATTTTACTCGTTTAGTTGGCTGCAGCAGAGCAGGGCAAGTCACAAGCCAAGGCACACCGCAAAAAATTGCACACCAAGTAAAGTCACACTTGATCTGAAGTGGAAGCTTTTTTACTTGACTTGCCCTCTGAACTGAAATCAATGGAGAAGCGGACTCTTCTTCAGCAAGAGCAACTAGCTTCTTTCTTATGAAATTTCATGCTTGGGTTACTCGACATTCTGTAAAAATTTTCTTTTAAGCCCAACCCTACCGAGTCCGAGCTTAAGACACAAGCCTGCCAAGTTTACCCAAGTCCAAGCTTTCGTCCACCAAACTGGGCTTGTAACATCCGTGCTACTGCGGCAACAATGCTCATCTTTTACAGTGGATGGTGGTAATGAAGAAGATATATTAGTCAACATTATTTTAAAAAATTAAAAAGAATAAAATAAAAATTTCTGTTTCATTTGTCCATAACACACTTACACAGTAACTTACAATTACAGTAGATCTTCGAAGTGACTTCGAAGGTGAGTATGATGGCGGAAGCGATGATGGCTCTTCCCTTTGCTCGATTGGATATTGTTCAACTATTAAATCTTTCTGTTGTGGTTGTTGGTGTTTATGTGCTCTCTGCTGCTGTATGATAGAATTCTAATAAGACGAACATTTTTCGTAACATCATCCGTGAAATGTTAGAACGTATAGCTTACTTGTATGCTAAAAAGGCTCTCGCTGCGGTGCAGCCTTCTTACAATGGGTTTAGTAGGACTATTGTTGTTACTCTTGGATGAATGTAGCTCCTTATTACTAACAATACTTTGTGTGATGCTTTTCCTACTATCTTCACTGCTTTCCTCTACATGTTTTTTACCCACATTAGTTGGCTTAATTTGTGTTACTCTTACAGCAGTAGCAGCAGAGGAATTTGCTGTTCTCGACGAAATATCATTAAGCTTGAAAAAGCAATAGAATTAGATATTATTTTGAGTTATAAAAGGCAAATGTCTTTTTTAACTTACTGATTGTCTTCCTCTCTTGATTCTAGTTACTTTTGGAGCAACGCTGACATTTGTTAGATGTATGGACATTGTTGTGTGTTATGTTATTTCTAATGGATAAAGACGAATAAAAAAACAAAACTTTTTTATTGTCTGATACTTTTTCAGTATATTTTATTTTTTAAAGAATAAAATCAAAAAACCATAGAACAGTTCATCTTATTTATATTGAATACGTAAATTGATTAATATCTATTGTTTTTTATATTTTTTTAATAAAGAAATGTCGTTTGATTTTTTGTAAGAACTGATTACATTCATAAGGTTTGGTGTGTTTCGCCCTGGCATCCGAAGGTCCCTACCGCATCTGCGCATAGCCGAACCTTGAACAACTATTATCGCCATTTTCACATTGGTTTGCTATTTAATAGTAGTTGTTATATTTTTCCTTTATTGTTTGAATAGTTTTTTCATTGAACAACCCCAACTTTTGACTATGAAAATGTGATTGACGCATCAGTAGCGCGGTGAATATTGGTCGAATGCTAAACATCTGCACAAATGAGAGTTTATATAAATTTTTTATATACCATTATTTACTTAAAGAGGATTGTACGACAGAAAATAGTTTTGGTACTAAACTTGATGTGGGCAATAAACACGTGTATGTATGAATTAGTGCTTCACAATTGAAAAGGATTTTTCATCATCGTATTTTCGTTTGTGTGAACTGTAATTTACAAAACAATAATTGTTATTCAATATGCTCATATCAGACCAGCTTGAATCAATTGGAAAACAGTCTAGACATGTGTAGTTTGACGAGTATATGCATATGTAACTTTAGTGGAGAAAATAAATATCTGTTTTAGTCGAAAACGGAAAATTATTTAGTTTCAATAGTTTAACCTGTGATAACCCCGAGGAAAATTCGAATACTTAATTTAATTACGTCAGATCTTTTTACTGCGACTTTGTAACCGAAACAGCAAAAGGCGTGGGTTTGGTATTATAGCGAGCTTAATCCCAAAGGTGATAGCAAAGAAATTCAATTATACTTGAAAAAAATAATAATCTATAGGTCTCTGTAAGCCAGATCCGATGATGTAGTTCTCAAAACTATATCGATATGTAGATTACGTGACTGGAGGAAAAGATGAAACAGTGGTAAGGGTTATTAGTGGCAGGCCAGATCGACGATTGATTCCATGGATACATGATCTTATACAGTTAACTGCACTTTATGTATACTATCACAATGTCAATACAGATATAGCTTGATCAGACAAATATGAAATATGAAAAAGGTGGTGTTGAGTTAAACTGGTTGAAATGACTAATATGCAGCTTATTGGAACTACTTTTACAAACATGTGTATTTTCACTTCTAAATACAGGGTGTCCCAAAAAAATTACCCCTCTGTATTTATTAGCTTTCTTCTGTACACCCATAGTTAAACTTTTTGCCATTGGTGTAGTCAAATAAAGCAAAGATTTCTGGACAAAATGAGACGTCTCTGAGCTCTCTAAGAGCTTTTCTCATGAAATACCATTCAATTTACGGAAAGCCCTAAGAGCGTATTTTTCTTGTTTCCTCGTTATTGTCCCGATTTTGGTGGTATGTGTCCTTCCGTAAATTGAATGCTATTTTAGGAGAAAAGCTCTTAGAGACGTCTCATTTTGTTCAAAAATCTTTGCTCTATTCGACTAAACCAATGGTAAAAAGTTCAGTTATAATACAAGAAAGCTAATAAATATAGAGGGCGTAAGTTTTTTTGGAACACCCTGTACGTGTATGTGAATTATTCTGCTTTAAAAACACGTTTTCTCTATTCATTGGTAAGAAGATAAAATTTTGTCTAGCGCCACATCTGAAATGTGCACTCTCCTTTTGCATCTTCGCCTACAAGTTTCTCGAGACGAAAGACCGTCAGAAAACACGATTTTCATCAATTTTGGCCGATTTTCGAAAAACTTTGAGCTTTTGTAACTTTTCTAATTTTATATTCGAGTTCAGCATAAAAGTCTACATCTAAATCACTATCTATTTTAGTTTTTCGATGCTTCGTCGGCTAGCGGACCTTGAAATACCCTTGGCGGAAAACAAGAAAATTGAGGTAAATTGAAGATTACGCCTTATCAAACCATTTCGGACGCTTCTAATACAGACATTCGTAGTCAGCGTGGTCGATTACATATTACCAGATGGGTTTGGAAAAAATCAAAAATGAAAAGCTCTCCAGAAGTCCTGAAGGGTACCTCAGGCCTCAAAAACCTGATCGGGAGATTTCGCGGAACTAAGTGTCTGCAAATGTTCCTGAGCATCCCCTGACATGGTTCCAATGCAAAAAAAACGAAAATTTTGGGGGTCAGGACAGGGTCTTATCTACCCTACTCCTTTTTTTCTAAAATAGTTATAGTTTTACGGCAGCTATAAACGACTTCATTCTTATTCAAAATAAGTTTTTCAAACAAATTTATTTATTTTCAACGTTTCGACGATTTGATCATCATTTTCAAGAAAGTTTTACAGTTAAAACACAAGGAAAGTAAATTGAATTGAATTATAGTATAGAAATGAGAATAAAGAAACTAATGAATCATTATACACTGACAGATAAAAAAACGTGTATAGACCTCTATTATTTAGTTTAACTTGCTTTCTTAGTACTAAGAAAGCAAGCAAACCCTCCCAACATCCTCTAATGATCACCCGCTACTACTTTTGATCTTCACAGTCGGTTTCCTTTGGGTGAGCCCTTTCGGAAATACAATAAGCGGCACCGAACGAACAGTTGGTGACGTATGATGGCCAAGGATTCTTTGATGAGAAGAGGGTAACGACGTCGATCTTTTGCAATAATTTTGTAATGCTCCTAATCAGCTTTGTGGCCGGTATCAAATTCATGTTGGTGGATAGCCGATTTAATTTCAGGCTGGGATTTCTGTTTTACGTCTTCAAGAACTTCTTCTTCTAATAGAGGTAGTTCATCAAAACATTTTGGTGGTTGATTGTTGCTGAGAGGATATGGTGATGGACGTATCAGGAGAAGAAGGTGGTTCAGGCATGGCATGTCCATGAAAATGTCTTGCAACTTGTCATTCAATTTTCCCAATGTAAGAAGCTGGACAATTCCCACAATCGATACCGTAGACGATGCTGCACTGAAGTTCTTTAGGTATCGGATCTTTACGAGAAAAGTAAGTTGGACAGATGGAAAAGGACGTAAAATAGGTTGAACATTTACAAGTGGACGAAGTTGCTTTGCAATACTAATCAATCGTTTGCCTAATCAAATAGTCGGACGTCCAACGTAGGGAATGTTGACGAGAACAACTTGTTTCTTTGGAGCATCTTTATTTTGTTTAAAATTGTTTTGATTGGTACAATTAACGTCATTATTATTATTATCGTTTGCTAATTTTGATGTTGATGAAGGTGTTGAAGACGTATAAAAATTGTTGAGCGTTTTTCGCATGATATTTTCGACGAAAGCCAATGGATAACCATTAGACATAGAAACAGCTTTGATGAAATTGAATTCTGAATGGAGAATATGAAAAGACGACGAAACTCGAATTGCATGATACACCATGCTAGAAATAGCACTTCTTTTGTACAGATTAGGTACAGATGACGTCTATTTCAGAAGGAGACCGGTGTATGTTGGTTTTTTGTATAATGATTCATTGGTTTCTTTATTCTCATTTCTATACTATAATTCAATTCAATTTACTTTCCTTGTGTTTTAACTGTAAAACTTTCTTGAAAATGATGATCAAATCGTCGAAACGTTGAAAGTAAATAAATTTGTTTGAAAAACTTATTTTGAATAAGAATGAAGTCGTTTATAGCTGCTGTTAAAACTATAACTATTTTATTACGTTTTTTGCCCATAAATCCCTCAAACTATCTTCCTTTTATTATAAAGTCTGCTGATAACTAACTACATTTTAACAGAACTTTAGACTCTTGTTAAATATTTGTTGACTTTGTTTTTGAAATATACCAGAAGACCACATTAACAGAATGCAAAGATGCCGTGTTTTTTTAATTTATCCTCGTGGAAAAAAATAGCTGCACACAGTATTTTTAAGATATTTTCCTTACGAAAATATACTTTTACAAAAATGATCACATATTCTGATAGCGCTTGGAATCCTCTACAATTCTGTATATTTAAATCTGGTCTTGAATTTATTTGCTGAAAAATACATTGAGTGCAATGACGGCCCCCTCATTGTCAGATTCCCAGAAATTGTAATGAGTGTGGCATCTCAATATTTTCTATTTTTCCTCGTGTTTCTTTAGGACCGAAAGGTTAATGTTTTTTTAAAAAGATGCGCGGCGAAATGCTCTACAAAACCATACCTAGCCTTTAATTTTAGAGCTTCAGTCAAGAAAACTACGCAGATTATACGAAAGACGAGAAAAATGAAAACTTTGAAAATCTGTTATTTTTTTCCACCTGAACCTTTTTCTTTTCCTGCTATTTCCGTAAAAAAAGGGTTGCAAAAGTGAGAAGTCAGTTCTTTTTGTACTTCTGAATGTGCTCTTTCTCGTGTAAAAAAATCTTTTAGAACAGATAGTGTGGAAAAAACTAAAAAAGTAGCGAAAAAATGCACCTTTTTAGTACCTGTCAGTTGGGGGTACCTTCGCTGTACTCAAATTACTTTTCAGCAAATAAATGTAGGATAAGACATAAATATATAGGATGATAGAGAATTTTAGGCGCTATCAGAATATATAATTACTTTTATAAAAAGCAATTTCTATAGTGATGATAAATTTAAAAAGCAAGTTGAAGAAATAGTAACAAAATGCAGTCCGTAGGAATCTGACAATGCGTCATTGCACTCAATTTGTTTTTCAGTAAATAAATGCAAGACAAGATAAATATACAGAATTGTAGAGGATTCCAAGCGCTATCAGAATATGGGGTTACTTTTGTAAAAGTATGTTTTTGTAAGGAAAATATCTTAAAAATACTGTGTGCAACTATTTCTTTCCACGAGGATATATCATGAACGAGAAAAAATAGAACACATGTTGTTTGATTGAAAAAAGCAAGAGAATGAAAGAAAAGGAAAATACTATATATATACACTGAATTACTGGGAGAAAAGAATTTATTTGTAAATACTAGCACTTTCGACGTCTAAGATATCATCTTCAGGTGAAAATAACATAATCTCATCTAAAATTACACTGTTAATAATTTGTGTAATAATATAAGCGATAAATGAAACTAATTTGTATGATCTTATAGGAAGTAACTTTCCCTGATGTATATCTGCTTATAATCGTGCTACTTGATATTGGTCATGATGAATCTTTTCCTACTGTCCACAGATAATAAAAGGGTTTTCCGAGTAAAACATTCTCATACATACTCAATGAATTCTCTAGTACGGTGTATTGATTATAAATAACCTCAAAAGCTAGAAATAGACTAGCAATATATAAATTAAATCAAGTGTTTCTAAACAGACATGGTTAACTTAAAACTCATTTAATGCGAAGAAGAAGGCGTGCAGTTTTATTGGATTATGGTACAGCCAAACCAATGATAATTACATATGTAGCAAGCGGCAATCGTTGGTTTTTTTTCTACTTCTAGAGCAACCAGAAGACTAAAGTGGAGAGAAGGATTTGTTTCCCAGACTTTAGTGATATTCTTTACTACTTGCATTGTAAAAAGTGCAACTTGTCAAATCATCTTTCAGAGACTTTTAATATAGCGCTTTATAGAGAGGGTATCGTCAGACCCGTTTTATTTCTTTTTGACACTGCTTCACGCTCGACACCATTTTAGTTAAGAATTACTCTCTTCCTTTCATTGAGAAAGTGTATTAGAAGAAATAAGGAATTTGTCTTAACGATAAGTAAGTTTTTCTTCCAGCTGTCATATTCATTCCTTTTTGAGAACTAATTCTAAGATCTGTAAGCTGTTCCATCCACGTTTTTGTTTTTTAAACAAGATCCCATCACTTTCTTTGTGTGACCTGAGCTGTTATTGTTCATAAGCTCTTTGTTTTGTCAGTTTGAACATAAAATTCATATCTATCATTCTTCTAATCTATTTTCTCAATGCTGTTCTTTCGTGTCTGGCTTCATCGAACAGAGTTCAGTAAAACAACTCTTATCGATTTGTAAAGCTTCTAAAGGTTTTCAGAATCACTTTTTTCTACTACTGCAACTTATGTGCTTGTATTACAGCAAAGGGCTAAAAATTTGGCAGAAAGTCTGTATTGTTTTTGCAGAAAGTCGATTTTTTTGCAAAAGAGTTTGAGTATACTGTGAATCGGAGGTTCTTCGTTAGCGGCAGAGACTGGTAATTATGATTTATTAATTATATACATTGACTTTTTGCAAGAAATAAAATCAACTTTCTGCAAGAAATGTAGCAGAAATAACATTGACTTTCTGCAAGAAGTCGATGTCAAGGAAAGCCCCTCCCTGCCCCCCCCTAATCGGGAACCCTGTCGCAGACACAAGACTCTTACGTAAGTTTTCATTGTTTTAACACTGTAATTACTAATACGATCTATTGTGCTTCTGTGTATATCATTGAAAGATTTAAAATCAAAATGGATTATTCGTATCTGGATAATGCTCTTGAGTATGCTCGAAAGCAAAAAACAAAAAGAGAGTTCAACAACGGAAACATAAAACCTTATCTCGTTATGGTCTTAGTGATATCCAGCTTTGGGCACCAGACAAACCCAAAGATACTCCTTTGTCGAAGCAATCTACTACAACATCGTTGTCAGATCCTGAAATCGTGAACAGTGATGATACCAACAATCATTCATCAACTATTATGGACTACAATGTGCAATTTAAGTCAAAAAACAATTCAACAACAACAGTCGATGATGAATCACAAGGTAGAGACGATAATTACAGTTCAAATGATGAATTATCTTACATTGAAGATCAGCCAGAGTTTATATCGCACGGAGATGATCACGAAGAACTGCCATCAGAACAACTGTCTGCCTTTGGTTCAAACCAAACTGTTGATGACGCCGGTGAAACAATTGCTGAATCTCCACGTGTGCACGATTATACAAATATCCGTACCATCGATGCAACGGAGACATTATTAAGGTGGTTACGTAATTCAAAAGTTTGTAAGTCACGTGGTAATGAAATTTTAAAACTGATTAAAAGTTGGCTGCCTGTACCAGTTAATTTACCATCAAAACCAGAAGATTTATTATCGTCATCTGGTGTTTTAAACAATTTTAATAAACGGACAGTTTGCGTTTTATGCGAAACAATTCTTCCTAACTCAGCAATAAAATGTCATAATTGTCCAAATTCTGAAAGTAAA